ATACATACATACATACATACATACATACATACATACATACATACATACATACATTTTTTAAAAACCTATTTTTTTGGCATTAGAAAGGCTTAAAACGTGGAGATTTACATGAATTAGATGTTGGTCAAAATCGGGCAAATGTAATACTTTATCATTATGATGAGAATGTAAAACTAAATTTTTAATTAAAAATTAAAAAAAAAAGAAAATGGCAGACTCAATTTGGCTACCCAATTTTGTTGTTTTTTGACGAAATTGTCTGCCCAACGAACTCAGGCGAGATTTTGGTGCACTTAAACTGCAAACCAATTTTGAAGTCGATTTATTAAAATTTGCTCAAGTTATCGTCGAGACAACTTTTTTGTCTACAGACATACAGACATACATACATACATACAGACAAACATTTTTTTAAAACCTATTTTTTTGACATCAGGAAGTCTTGAAACGTGGAGATTCACAAGAATTAGAGATTGGTCAAAATCGGGCAAATGTAATACTTTCTCATTTTTATGAGAATGTAAAAACAAATTTTTAATTAAAAAAAAAAAAAAAAAAAATTCGGTATTTTATGTGTAAGTTACTTTAATTTATGTTAATTTAAGGTGGTTTAAAGAGAAATAATACATATTTGAACACATTTTTTCAAAATAAAGTGATTTTGCTCTTCATTTTACCCATTTTTCATCCGTTTTTGTTTTTTTTGTCTTTTTTTAAAAAAATAGGTATAATTTTTTTGTTTTAATCGCTATTAAAAATTATCAGAGGAAAAATGTGTTTCATTTGACTTACATTTTTCCAAAAAAAATTGAAAAAATTTTTTTTTAAAAATGAAAATTTTTGAATATTAAAAATTATAAAAAATTGTGTAACTTTCTTGTTTTCACTCGAATAAAAAAATGCTAAAGGAAAAAAGTGTTTCATTTGACTCACATTTTTCAAAAAAAAATTGAAAAAATTTTTTTTTTGAACAATGAAAATTTTTGAAAATTAAAAATTTGAATAATTTTGTTGTTTTTTGACGAAATTGTCTGCCCAACGAACTCAGGCGAGATTTTGGTGCACTTAAACTGCAAACCAATTTTGAAGTCGATTTATTAAAATTTGCTCAAGTTATCGTCGAGACAACTTTTTTGTCTACAGACATACAGACATACATACATACATACATACAGACAAACATTTTTTTAAAACCAATTTTTTTGACATCAGGTAGTCTTGAAACGTGGAGATTCACAAGAATTAGAGATTGGTCAAAATCGGGCAAATGTAAAACTTTCTCATTTTGATGAGAATGTAAAAACTTCACAGAAAAGGAATTTATAACCACTGTAAATAATCAGTGTGGCACTATAAGGCATCCTAAAATTGATAAAAAAATAAAGAAGGAGTTATCTGCTGTTGGTAGTTCTCAAAGCACAGAAACAATTTCTAAATTGATTAATGACGAAGAAGAAGCACAGAGCACCAAAAGAAGTGAAATTGATGAAATTGAGGAGACGCAAGGCACGAAAGAAGATGAAAATAATAGGAAAAGGAAATTTTCAGACAGCAATTGCAGCCTTAATGACCCAAAAAGAAAACCGGCGAAAGAATTATAAGTGCAGTGTTTACAAGGTCAACAATTTATGTTCCTTAATTATTATATTAATCGTTAAATAACTTAATTATTTTGATTGTATTCACAAGTTGCATTTAATAAAGTTGAAGAGAATAGTTTATATTTTTAAATGAAATTATTACAGATTAGAATTATTAAGCACGTTGAGACATTTTGATCTGATTTATAATATATATTTGATTAAAATTCAAATAAAAATAATTACTCTGTGTAAAATGATGTCTAGCTTTAATTTTGAAATTAAATTGCAGTTGAAATTCAATTAGAAATTTAATTCATTTGAGTGATTTTTTATAACGTTTCTTAAGGTAAATTTGAACATCTAATTGTTAAACATTTAAAATTGGAAATTTTCAATAATAAGTTGTGTTACGAACGAATTTCGTAACTTTTTAAAATTTTCAATTTTAAATAAAAGATACTTAAATTCAATTAATTATTGTAAGATTTAAATCACATAGTGATTTAAATTCTTTTTCTACTTATAATAAATTACAGATGGAATTATAAATAATATAAAACACAAACATACAACACAAACACAATTTTTCAAATTAATTTATAAGTAAATTAAGAAACAAGTAGCTGTTCTCATTTTAGCATTGTTAAATAAATATCGAGAATATTAAGAAATAAAAGGTAAAGAACCTCAATATAGAATAAAAGAGTTCATTTTAACAAAGTTTCGTAAATAAAGTTCCATCATTTCACATATCAATATACAATTGAGCAATATAATTGCTCAATACAAGGAGTGGCTCATCGAAGGTGGATCACGCCACTACCCCAAAATTGCAAGGTTGCAAGAAGCGACTTAGCGACAGACAATTTCATTATATTTTTCCCACTCTTTCATCAATTAATAAAACCAATTGTAATTGTAAATTACGGGGAGTGGAGTTAAGGTAGAGGTTTGGGGAGTTTGAGGTCTCAAGTGGAGACGGTGTTACAACCCGGAGTTTGGGGTTGATCAAAAAGTGTATTGTAAAAGAATTCTCTAAGTGGAGAAATTCTTTTAGTTGGATTGATTTATTGAAGCAGTGAAGTATTGATTTTGTGATTATTGAATATTGGTTTATTATTTTGTTGATCTGTTGGATACTGATTTGTCATTTATTGAATAATGGAATATTGATTTATTATTGAGGACTATTGATTATTGAATTGAGGATTATTAAAGATTGGAATATTGAATATTGATTTGTCATTTGTGGAATATCGATTTGTTGAGTTATTGATTATTGAATTGAGGATTCTTGAATATTGGAATATTGATTGATTATTGAGGACTATTGATTATTGAATTGAGGATTCTTGAATACTGGAATATTGATTGATTATTGAGGACTATTGATTTAAATATTATTGATTTGATTTTGGTGAGTTCTAATGCATTATATTTACACTACACGGACATTCACACTATTCAATACATTATTTTGATACATGTACTAAAAACATTTGATTCTATTTTATAAAATACATGTTTTTCTTTGAAGTTTAAATTGTGATTTCTATATTTGAACCATTCTCATATTTCCTTTTTTTCTGATTAATCAAATTAAGAGTACAATAAGAATACGAATCTCAAACGACGTTCTGAATAATAGAATGGTAGTAGGAGGAATCCACTACCTTTATAATTAAATTTGTCCGAAGGGCATGTTGTTGGCCTACCGGAATTTGTAATAAGAAAAGCTATTTTTTTGTGTTTATGATTGATTTCCAATAAAAACCTAAAACCTTTTCCCATCAAATTCTAACCCTAACAAGTTGATAAATTAAAAATGGCTTTGAGACAAAAAAGTTATTATAAATTCAAAAATTATTAAAAATTAATAAATTCTATCTCAAAAATTTTTTTAAATGGCGCTTTAAAGAAATTTAAAATAAAGTTTTACCAGAAATAAATTTAAAGAAAGTATCTCAGAAAATATTAAAATATACGATCAAGCAATAAAATACCAACAAATCCCATCATCCCATTGTTGAACAATGGGAACTGGACAAATCCAATGCTTAGTCCATACAATGGGTAACAGTGGGCAAAAATTTTTGATGACTCAATCCATGGTTTGTATGTCTTCTCCCACCATTTAAATTTCTCAGCCCATGCTTTATATTTTTTATCCCACGGCCAACATTTCTACGCGGGTAAGTTCAAAATTAAGTACTAAATCATCATTTAAAAAAAATCAAAAACAGCACAATAAAGGTACTTCGCCCTTGTTGAAAATTCCTCAACAAGATCTTGTGAAACAATTTTTTCTTGATTCGATGCACCTGCTACATTTAGGATTACAAAAATTAGTAATGAACAAATGCATTTTTGAAAAAAAACTCTATTGTACAATCAGTGTCAGTCAAAAAATTCATTTACAAAATCTTCTAGAAAACATAACAAATGTTCCAGATGAGTTCCAACGTAAAATTTTCTATTTAAACGACTTCACAAATTGGAAAGCGACACAATTTCTTTTTTTTACACTATGCCACCCCATGGCAGTAGAACATGCAGACTACGCCAGAAAATTGCTCACAAAATTTGTCGAGCTATTTCCTACGTACTACGGAGAAGATTCACAGGACATGAACGTCCATAATGACATCCATATTGCAGAGGACGTAGAGTTCACAAGGTTACCACTACCAGCATTGTCGGCATTTGTTTTTGAAGATTGTTTGGGATGGATTAAAGAAATAATCAGAGGGAAAACAAAACCATTGCAGCAACTTCTCAGACACCTTGCAGAATTACACTCTTGTCCTGAAGCACCGGATTTGTTGGAGCTTAAGCATCCTTTACATAAACGTTTGAAAAAAAAGAAGATTTGCAAATTGAATTTAAAAAAAGAGCATCAAAGTATTAAAAAACTGACACACAAAGATATGATTCTTGACTTGTCGGAAGCTAACAACACAGTGCTGTTGAAGACAGGAGAAATCATCTGCATTAAAAAAATGTCTGTAAGTGAGAAAAGTGTTTCTTTTGAAGGATTTAAATATTTAAAACTAGAAGATTTGTTCGATTACCCTTGCAATCTCAAAATGTCGGAGTCTATAAACTAGGCCCTCAATCCAATCGACTAATCAGATTTGAAATTCCCGACATCAAAAGGAAATGCGTAGTCTTAAACGGAGACAAAATAAAAGTTGCAATTACTCTTTTGCACTTTCCTGGATGCTGAAGATTTATATTTTATATTAAAAAGCTAAATCAAGATTACTCGGTACATTTACATAATTATATAAATTATTTATAAAACATTTAAAATATGTATAAATTATTTACACGTAGTTTTATTATTTACATTTATTTATACTTATATATAAAAAATTTAAACATTATGAAGTAATTATTCCTATTTTTTTACTACAGGTGAATTATCATGAATCCGCAAAATCTTAAAAACAATATGACTCACGTAATTATTCAATTTGTTAATCAGCAAGAAGGAAGATTAGTAGACCAGATATAGAAATATGGATAAATTACGAAATAAAAATCTTAAAAGATGCTCGTAAGTTTAAACATTTCTATATAAATATATATTATTTATGAAATAATAATCTTGAAAATAATTATTTGTACATACAATTCTATTTTACAGATAGTTTCACTCAAGGTCAAAGGACACTGAAGGATGCTTATGATACAGAGCACATTGAAAGCAGTAATCTGGAGGAAAGTAATTCCGAAACTAAAAGCCGTGATGTCCAAAACAAGGAGACTTTGCCAAAAAACTATCTGCTGCTCAGGCTAAAAATTCAATGCAGGACATTCCAGCTTTTGATGTAAATTCCAACAAGACAAAATAATGATGAAGATTATTATATTATTCTACGTAATGTATAAAAAAATACGTAATTTATAGACAAGCTGTAATTTTTTATTTTTTTAAAAATAATATACTGTTTATTTTTGTTTTTGCATTAAAAAATACGTGTTTAATGGATTAAATCAAATTTTTTTATAATTATGTATCAAATATTGTTTTTGAGTATATCGCGATTCTTAATGTTTTATTTCTATTTATTATTTATTTCTATTTATTATCAGCGATTCATATGAGAAAACTAACGAGAGTCATTCATCTTGCGAGGGTGATCCAAGTGGCGAAGTAAAAAAAGTTAAAGTCATCTGCAATGAGAAGAAAGAAAACAGATTCAACGAAAGAACATTTAAATTCGGACTCTAAATTGTCAATAACCAGTCTATCACTTACTCATGAAAAGAATTTTCAAGGACATTGCTCGTACGACAAAGTGCTTGGTATAATTTCTAAAATATAATCCAATATTATTTATTATAATATCATTCAACATAATATAAACAGAAAACATTTTTATTACAGATATAGTAAAAGATCTGCTTGGGGAATTTAAAAAAAATGGGGAACTAGTACAAAGCTTGGCAACCGAACTTCCGAAAAAAATTGAGATCGCAAAACGAACTATTCTGTACGATTTACAAAATAAATTAAAGCCCTAGAGACTCTTATCAAAGTTGTAGACGATCCGCAAGTACAAGCAACTCTACAATTAAGAGATAATCTACCTCCTTTACCGATGAAGAATTTACAGGACTTTTTGGACTTGGAAGAAAACCTTACAAAAAATGAGGAAATAAAGTTGTCTTTGGTAATATTTTTTATATTGTAATTTTTAAATGTTAGAAATTTTTGTAATTTATAAAGAAATTCATATTTTAAAATTAGTTTAAAATTAAAATTTATTTTAAAATTCATCTTTAAAATCTTAAGACAGAAAATATATTTATTTATTTATTTATTTATTTATTTAGAACATAACGGGACATGCCCTTTCGTACAAAAGTACTCCTAAATTCTAATAGTTACGTAAGTAACAATACAAAATATAAAATATTAACTAAATCTAGGTAGGCGCTATAATGGCTAAAGTTCATTATAAGTTTATACAGTAAAGAATAACATAAATCAAATTACATTATTATCAAAAGAGAAGATTAATTTTCGATAAATAGAATCTGCTTTACCATTATATCAATTAATTTCAAAAATAATTGTTATTGTTCAATAATACTGATTTTATCTAAATCACAATGTCTACATTTAGTTCTGTATGTATTTCCTTAAATCCCTTTCATAGATTAAAATAAAATAAGTTTATCTCAAGGAAGGGACACAACCTTGGGCACCAAGTGGGGAAATCACTATAGATTCTCCTTACACGCATCTATTTGGACTGTAAGAGTGGATGTGCGATTTCTAGGGGGGATTTTAATTATGGTAGGGATTCCACGCCGGTAGACCATTGACACATTCATTTCTCCGTCTAATCGACGGGTCTCTAGTTCCTCCCTCACTCTCTTAATCTCCTCCCTCTGCATAACCGTCCTGTCATTCGACATCCAAAGATCTTCCAACTCCCTTGAACGTGTTGAGTCTCTTTTGACATTTACAAATTTTTTTAGAATTACTTGTGCCTTCTCTTCCGTCTCACATACAATCTTAACAGGGCGAGGCTTACGAGAAACCTGCGCATTAGAACCAATTCTAAATGTGCGTATATTTTCAAGATCATCTGTTTGAATGAATTTTTTTAATTTATTCGTAACCACAGATTTCAAAGAACAACTATTATTTGACGAAGTGTCAAATTCTGGAAGATTAAATAAAACAAGATTGTTCTTTCTTTCATTTCGATCAACAAGTTCATTTATACAGACATTAGTTACTGAATTAGAATCAATATTTGTAGAACCATTTATATAATTAACTCTTATAAAAGTAATATTAATTTAATTAAACTGTTCTTAATTTTTAGCGGTCTTTGGTAATACATAACACGAAATCAACGGCAGAATATAAATCAGCTTTAAAATTAATTCTGCCTAAAATCATAGCAAAAGATGTCCAGTTGCAGTATAAGTATAAAAAAAATAATATAAAAAAGGTGAATAATTTTGCCAAAATATATTTAATCCTATTTATTTTAGAGGTTATTTTTTTATTTGTAGACAATTTTTCTTGTAAAAAAATTTTTTAAACAAACTAATTCTTTTAGTTCAAAAATATTTATTTTAAGTCGAAGAAATTTTTCTTTCACAGTATAGCACACCAAAATTGATTTGATAAAAAGAAAATTTTTTCTGGGTCTATAACAAAACCAATTTGTACTTATTAAAATTAAAATTTATTGAATTTTATATTAAATAAAATATGAATCGATTAAGGCTTGAATATATTGAATTTGTTACTGCTTCGATTTATATTTTTTATACTCTCCTTGCCTGCGGCAAAGTTCGAGGAACCAAATACAATTTTCTTAACCTAGTTACAATCAATCCTTAAATACTAATACAATTTTCCATATCCTATCTTAACTAAGTCTATCCGCCAGTGCCCGGGCTTCCGTTTCCAGTTCTTTTTGCCCATACTGGCTTCGTCTCCTATTACGCCCTTCCCTTATATTTTCATTCTCACCTCTCATTAATTCCTCTTCCTCTCATCTTTTCTCCCCTTTTTTCATCCAACTTTCTCATCCATTCCTCCCCTTGCCCATTCTCATCCAATATCCATCGCACCTTAGCCTCTTTACCCCAATTCTCATTCATCCCACTCGTTTCTTTCACACACCTCTCTAATACATGTTCCCAGTCCTCTACATCAAACTCGCACACTCTGCACAGCTTCTCCTCTTTCCCCATCCAATACCTGCATTCTCTCATACCCTCCCCCATCCTATATCTCACCATTCTTTGCCATTTTGCTTCATTCCTCAGTTTCTCTAATAAACTCGGCTGTCCCACATTCATCACCATTTTATACCATCTATTATACTTAGACACTCCAATTTTTGCCCATCTATCCTTACCATCTCTTTCTTTCCATGTCTCTTTTACACCATACCAAGCCCTGTCAATCTTTCCATAACATTCCAAAGCATCCGTCCTTTCTTTTTCCCACTTCGATTGTTCATTCTTTCCTATTCTCTCTCTCTCTCTCTCTCTCTCTCTCTCTCTCTCTCTCTCTCTCTCTCTCTCTCTCTCTCTCTCTCTCTCTCTCTCTCTCTCTCTCTCTCTCTCTCTCTCTCTCTCTAATACATTCTCTACACAATTGAGCCCATTTATTCCCTTTTCCTTGTTTCAATCTCTCCTCAAACCCCCATGCTCTCCCTCTCTGCCGTACTACCATTTTCTCCCTCTCTATTTCCTCTCTCAACATGTACCCAGGACAACTTGCGCTTACTCCCATTGTCCATCTCATATACCTTTCATTCATACTTTCTACTTTTTCTCTCTCCTTCCATCCCCATATCTCTACCTCATAACACAACACTGACCATACTAACGCATCAAACAACCACATTCTCTTTTTCCATTCATTCTTAAACCTTCTCTTTCCAATTCCCCACACTTGCCCCATTATCCTCCCACTTTCTCAATTCTCTTACTCACATGCAACTCGTGACCCCCATTATACTTTAGCCAAAATCCTGAATAACAAAACTCATCTACTTCCTCAACCACACTCCCATTCAATTTCCACACTTCCTCATCCCCACTCTTTCTATTCCTGAATCTCACCATTTTCGTTTTCTCCACATTCACCCACAAATCCTTTTCTTTCGCGAACAACTCAAACTCTCTCATTAACAACCTCATCCCACTTTCACTCTCTGCTAATAAAACCACATCATCCGCATATGCTAAAGAATACAATCTCCCTTTTCCCAGCACTACCCCTCCTTTTCCTCTCTTTTCCATTTTTTCTTCCATATCCGCCATGAATAAACTAAATAAGAGTCGGCTAAGTGGGCACCCTTGCATTAGACCTCTACCCATCCATATACAATTCCCTAATTGTTCTCCTACTCTCACCCTGGCTCTCACATCGACGTAAAGCTCTTTAATTCTCTCCACGAGCCCGTCCTCTATCCCTCTCTCCTTTAAGGTTCTCCACAGTATTCCTCTATTTACAGATGGGAAAGCAGCCTTAAAATCTACGAACAATCCTACCAATTTACCAGCTTTCCTACTTAAATTCCTATTTATCAGGTAATTGAAGGTGTAAATGTGGTCCATTGTTCCCATTCCTTTCCTAAATCCAGCTTGATTATGTGGGATTCCTCCCACTCTCTCCACATTCTCTTCCAACCTTTTCCTTATCACTTCTGCATAAATCTTATACCCTACCGGCATTAAAGTAATCCCTTTATGCTCATCTACCTTCTTTGCTTCTCCTTTCTTTGCCAAAGGAACAATCAACCCCGTTTTCCAGTCTTCTGGCCATCCTTCTCCTTTCCATACTTTATTGATAATCACCCACATCTCATACTTCACCACATCTCCTCCATAAATCATACTTTCCGACTCGATCCCGTCATGCCCAGCCGCCTTATTCCTTTTTAATCTCTTAATTGCACCTTCCACTTCTTCCATACTTATCTCGTTCACTTCTTCATTCTCAATTTCCCTTCTCTGTTCACCCACTACTCTATATTCCACCCCCCCACTTAGGCCTTTAAAGTAACTCGTCCATTCTTGCATGCTAATATTTCTATTTATCGTCTCTCTTCTCTTCCTTTCTCTATTGATTACCTCCCACTCTCTTCCTTCTCTCACCGCTTTCTCTACTTCCTCTATGAACCTCTTCTTCTTTTCCTCTCTTTTCTTTCCAATCAGATGTTCGTGTTCCTTCTGCCGTCTCTTATATTCCGATCTATTAATCCGTCCTTCTCTCCATTCCTTGATATTCTCTCTCATCCATTCTTTACTCCGTTCACACTCTTTATCCCACCATCCCTTTCTTTTTGTTTTTTCTTTACCTTCTTGTCTTAATTCATTCCT